TAAAAATATGTGTCTGTTAGTTATAAAAACATGTGAATACATTGTAAATTTAAGTTCTGATATCTGTGTTTCAGCTCTTTATTAGCACTTGGCAGTAAGCCTTACTATTTTCTCTTGAACAGGAAAATTAAAATTCAACGTCTTTCAAAAAAGGAAGTGTTACCAAGCTATGTGCTGTTATATCTATAATAAGGAACTTGCTGATTGATTATCCACTGATATGCATCAACTTATGCACGATAATGCCTATAATTGACAGTGTTGTAAACCATGCATTAGCTTCAAATTTTTACATATATGAAAACAAGTTTTAAGATCCATCAGCAGCCCGTGGTAAATTGTTTAAAACAGGTAGATCAACTCCAGTTCACACCCCAGCGAATGAACTGTCTGCATTGAAGTTTTCACGATTTAAGTGTAAGAACTAATTCTCCTTAGAAGGACACTATAAAAAATGTTTGCATTTATAGCTTATAATGTATCAAAACACCAACAGGATCTCTTGTAGTGAAGCTGGTAACATTAACAAAGTTTAACTTGATTCATGAATGAAAAAAAAAAAAAAAAAGATTACAAATAATTATAACATAATGCTTTGTATATGATGGACTGTCATGGAATTTTCCCTGGTATCCAGAATTTTTACATTTTCAATCTTTTTGGCAAACAACTTCAGTTACTGCCTCGACTTCTTTAGAATTAGATAAATCTCCGATTTCTGTATTAGGAAGAATCTTTTTCCATGATTGACTTTGCGTGTTTGTTTTTTTACACACTCTCACGCACAGTAATGAGCATGCCTGCCCAGGCATGCATGGATAATTCGCAAACCGGATGATTCACAGCCAGATAACCAAGAGTATACCACATATATTTTTATAATTTTGCTTTGTTGAATTATGAATGCAAGTTTTATTAATTTGAGCCGCCATTTAACATGTGAAGCAAAGTATAAATAATCTTTGAGGGAAAAAAAAAAAGAAAAAACTGAACTAAGAATTTTTCTACCTGAATGCAGAATATTATTTTAGTAATATTTTATCTGAACGTATATTCATTAATCTATTTAGAATATTTTTATCTGAATGCAGAATATTCTTTTAGTAATATCTGAAAGTCAATGCAGAATATTCTTTTAGTAATATACACTACTTCAAATTTCCTTTGTCCAATATTATTTTTCCCCAGTAGAATATATATCATATATATATATATTTACGTTTTTTGTAACATTACTAGTGATACATCATCATTATATAAAAATATGTTCAAGTTTATTTATTTATTTGTTTTATTTCCAATATTATTTAAATTAAAATCTTCCCCTTGAAAACCTATTATGGAGAGAACAAAATATTAATTTATTAAAATACCCAAGTGCTCTTCCTAGAAGCCCAACCTGAAAAACTATTCTGATGCCAACTCACCATTTTTCATAAAGGTCTGAACAGCTTTATAACAATTTAATATTTTACCTAAGAGTACAGACACTTATTCAAAGTCCCTTTTCATAAAGATTCCAAATATATATCTTTCATATCCTGCTTAATTAATTAATCAGTAACTGAAATGAAAATCAAATATGCATAAGGGTGACAACGATCAGTTTCAAGGGAGAACCTGATCTCCAGTTTGTGCACGCTCCCTGCTGTGGCAGTGTTATGATGGTGTCCCAATTTAATTGCATCCTATTGTTATTGATAAAGTTCATTAAAATACTTCAGAATAAATGGTAGTTCAGCATTCATTCATAATGTGGGACTGGACTGTTCCTGTCACTGTGTCCTTGTCCTGTGTCAGAGGGAACTTTAAATACATATCCTCGAAAAAATAGCGAACGATTTATTTTTCATGCTCTCAAATGCTTATTGAGGTCATTTTAGGCATTAGCTCTTACAAAAATATTTATTAATAGCATAATTAAACAAGTAGATTTTTTAAAGGTTACTGATAAATTTTACATTTCAGAAAGTATGGAAATAGTAATAAATGTTTCACATATATATATTTTTATAAAGACAATAGGTATTTAATATGCAACTCAATACTTACACTTTTTTAAAAAGAAAAATCATAAAAAAAATTTATGTACTGCATTTATTCGTTTAAATTCCAGTTTATTAAACCTTTCAGCAGGAAATAAAATTTTGGCCTTGGGAAATTTAGAAGCCTATTATTGAATACACTTGTGCATTAGCCCTAGCAAAATAAGTACTCGCTTAGAGCATCACGTAAAGATGCTCAAGAACTCAGAAAAGGACCAAGGACCAATGCGATGTTTATGAAGTACATTTGTAAAACATTTACAGTTATTTCTGCATCAAACATTTACAGTCATCGAAATGAAAGATGGAAATACATAAGGGAAGCATTGGCTGAAAAGACTGTAAAAAATATCATTACGGGTTAAACAGAAGATTAGAAAAGAAGTCCTCTGTGGATGAGAACCATGGCATCTTGAAGAAAGCCTGTATAAAAAGGGGGCAGTTACCCGTCTGGCAAGCAGGACTGGCACTATGTATTTTGCGCTCAAGGCAATCTTTGCGAGTATTAAATTTGTGAGTCATCTAGATGAGCAGCCAGTTGATCCACTGGCTCCTGGACTTGAGCAACTCTGACTGGGTGGCAGTCTCTGAGTTGCTTGCTAGGCTGCCTCGAATTTCATGGCATACACCAAAGCATTTTTTTAAATCCTTCACATCCTCATTCTCAGGGTTTTTTATATCTCATGATCTTAGATGTCATCGATGAGTACTGATGTAACAATATTTCCTAAGTCTCTGTTGGGCAGTTCAAAAAAGGAAGACGGGACAGCCTTTCAACATCTGTGATGAGCTCCTGGAGTGTTTCTGTGAGCTTCTGTTGGTGAGATTTTAGCTGAAGCCAGCTATAGATTTTCAAACATTTCTCCCCAAAGCGCAACTCTAACATGCTGGATAGAGCTTTGAGGTCTAGCATCCAGTTTTCAAGCAGAATTTGAAGAATATCCGGTGCATTAGGTCTCAGAGAAGCAGCGAGATGGCAGGCTTTAGCTTCAGAATCCCATCCATTTCTGCTAGGTACTATAGAGAACTGCGTTTTGTACACTTGCCAGATAAACTTTCCATCGTATAATGAGAGCTTTAGAGAGGGTCATGACAACATACATTTGAATTTAAAGGCATCAGAATGTGATCAGCTGCCATTATGGATTTCCTTAAACTTTCAATTCTTTGGAAACAGCAGCAGAAACTCTGCCATGAATTTGTTGTTGGATGGCAGAAACTCTGCCTTTGATGTTTTGTTTGACAGAAGAATCTCTCCTTCAATTTCTCCAACTTTATTTTCAACCATGTCTGTTCTGCCTTCCATGTTAAAATTTTTTTTTTCTGTTATGCAAGTAATTTCTCTTTTCATTTCCTCTTGACCTGCTTCCAGAGTCGTAGCTAGGGTTTTCAGCGCCCAGGTACAACTGAAGATTTCACGCCCCTTATTCCTTGCCAAGGATGGAAAGTCGTAACATCAGTTTGGCACCCCTTGGATTCTGCGCCCGGGAACAGATGCCTCCCCTTGCCCCCCTCTAGCTATGCCCCTGCCTGCTTCAATTTTTTCTTAAACTGATTTGACAGCCCCTTCCATCTATACCTTAACCCTTTTGCGATGGTGCACCTTTGTTTGAGACGCTTGTGCAGGATGGAAGGGAATCGTAGGCAATCAATCATACAGGACGGGGATTTTGCATAGCTAAGCCTAATTTTATAAAAACAAAATCAGAAGAAAAGAACTTTCACTTCTAGCATTGTAATTTTTGGTATCATTTTAGATTTTACTTGAGCTCTTATATATGTTAAAATTAGCACTTAAATAACCTTTTTTCCTTTATTTTACATGAAAATATATTTAAAAAATTGCTTTTCTTGTAAAATAAATTTCGGATACTCTAATCAAATTATTCCAAAGTTTTAATAGATAAAATCCATCAATAAAGTTTAAAATTAACAAAACAACACAATAAAGACTAGTTACATTAAGAAGTAACAAAATTAAAAATGAAGACTGAGTGTGGAAAATCTCAAAGCACGGAGAAGTATCACTTTCTAACCCTTAGAAAAAGTATCACTTTCTAACTCTTTAGAAAATGAATCATCACTCTTATCTATGTTAGTAAATAGTTTATTAACAATAAGAGCGTATTCTTCCGCTGATAAATAGCGCCTTCCCACCATAATAGACTGGAGGTGAGGCTTGAATGTTTATATTACATGCGGGTATTTAAACAGCCCACCTCTGTTTATGCTTTCCCTCCTTCCCACCCTCGTAACAGCTGATGAGTAAAATACCAAAGTCAGGCAGAATATATCAAACTCAAGGTCAGGAATCTAAAACTGTGTTCATTTCAAAAGTAATGGACATAGGATGCCATCTATTATGATGATTATGATTAGCGGTAAATGTCATTTTGGTGTTGGCGACAATATTCAAAATCGCACCAAGGCTATATCATATACTAGGATTTTACCTACTTATTTAAGATTATATGACACACATTTTTAAATATATACTCAAAACTAATTAATGTCATAAAATGTTTTGCATAAAATTTAGTAGTAAACAACATACAGTATTGGCAATTTAATACAATACTTTTAACAATAGACTGTGTAAAAAAAAGGTACTTGCATATTATCTCATCAACCCTGAAATTGTCCGATTTAGAGCTACTTATGGATATATGTGACATAACTAGAAACTCATAATATCAGCTTTATTTTAATGTTCATAATTCCGATCATTTCCAGATAAACACCTTTACGTTTTGTGAAAAAGGATATACATAACCTATCATTGCCGTATTTTCCCCCTGCATTCTGAAAAAAGCAGTTATTAAAATCTTGGACCTGCATTTTACAGAACAATAAACAGCAGATTATTTTCAAAGTTACATGATCCTGCCATCAAAAAAAGTGTTTATTTAAGGACATGATATTACCAGCAAAACAGTTATAGATTGAAACACTTACCTATGGGAAATCTGCACTCAAAGCATTCTGAACAGAGCTTTTAATAAAATAAGATGACCTAACAAAAAAGAAATTGATAGAAAAAGTTTTGTAAAGTGCAGGAACAAAGTGGATCAAATACTCATAGTTTATTAAACAAAGAGGCATCAAAATCTGCAGGAACGACGATTGAGTAACTTTGGCAGAACTTCTGCGAACTTTCATGGCCAATGGGATATTATGTAAATGCCAAAAGAAATAATGTGCATGAAAAATTACCCCTCCTCCACCGCAGATAAAAAGAGGAGGTACAATTTTTCAAAAAATTTTGGGTAAAGTGTAGAATTGCCCACTTATATGACACGTACTGAGGTGTACATGGATAAAGTCAAGAGAGTGCGTAATGCCAAGTTTGTGCAATTCTCTGATTTTTTTTTAAAGTTAAAATAGGTCGATGTGTACATGGACACTGAGATTGTGCAATTCTTTGACTTTTTATTTTCCAGAAAGCCCAAACTCATATAGGCCAATAAACCTTCTACCAACAATTGGAAAAGTTCTAGAAAGAGCAATTAGCAGGCCGTTTACATCACAACATTACAAAAAACAAGATCATAAGTGAAAACCAGTTTGGATTCTTACCTAACAAGACTAAATGCAACAGACAAAGCATTGTCTCAAATACAGAAAAACAGAGTTCAAGATTTACACTCAACATTACTTTGCCTTGACTTGAAAAAGGCATTCGATTCTATGTGGTGGCCCGCAGTTCTGCAGGCCCTCAGGGACGCGAAATGCCCAAAAAATATATTCATAATATTACAGAATTTTCTACAAAACAGGAAAAGCATAATTATTCATACCATTAGAATAATTGAAAAGTACCAAGAAAGAGGTTGCCTTCAAGGTTTTTGCCTAAGTGCGGATTTATAGAACTTAACTTTCAATTCCATTACTGATTACATATGGCCAACCCAGTCAAAAGGAATAGCATTTGCGGATGACGCTGCATTTATCATAGCAGGAAGAACCAGAAATCTCTTAGAGAAAAATATTAACGAAACACTATGTAACTTCAACTCCCTCTGTAAAAGTCTGAAATTAACCATTAGCCAAGATAAGTCTAAGGCCATTATATTTCCAAAGCCCTCCCAAGTTTACACGCCTGCCTAGATTTGCTATAGAAGATAAGAAAATAAAAATTGCTGATAGCATCAAATTCCTTGGCCTAATCATTGACAAGAAACTAAATTGGATTGAGCATTTAAAATTCATTAAAAATAAAACCTCCAAAATTGCAAACAACATCCGAAAATTGGGGATTATCCATATATTCAAAAACCTCTTTAAGACAGTTATTGAAAATTGGTTATAGGGGCAGAGATCTGGGCCCAACCTCTTACAAAAAGAAGAAACCAGCTGTAGACTTACAAGGTGCTACAAACAATTCAAATCACACTCTGTGTGTTGCAGGAATGGCCCCTGATATAACAGCTCAAACGGAACATCCAAAGTCACAATTTAAGGGTTAAAGGAACTGTCCTAAAGATAGAGACTGAATATTCCCATTATGAATCTCTGTAACCCATACAGAAGGCCCCAGCAGTAATCCAAAAATCAACTGTTTGCAAGATACCACTAGAGACTACCCAATGCACATACACGATGGCCCAAAATGGAAAAGTAGTCGATGTGCAGCTTATTTATATAATTATCAATTAAAATAAACTAAAGCTAAACTTCAAAATGAAACAGTATTTTCCACGCTTATTATCAGCACTAAAAATGCCCTAGAATATTGTACCGAAAACGAAAACAATTCAAATATACACAGATAGTCTATCCACGATTCTAGCTATGAAAAATACTAAACATAATTCTCTGATCATTCAAGATATCTATAATATCTCCATCTTGAATCCCGATATGCATCCTACTATTTAATGGGTTAAATTCCCATGTTTGGGATTTCTTGGAAATGAAGAAGCAGATGAAGCAGGCAAAATCTGCTATTATTGACACTGACTCAGAATTAAAAAATCCCTCTTGGCCCCAAATCTCAGCTAAAATACCAACTTAAATGCTTACGGGAACATGTATTGGGAAGAAGAATGGAAAAAATAGCAATAAGGAGGAGAAGACTCTTCCAACTCATAACCTTATATCAATACAGGACAGACTCAGTACGAATCCATCTAATGAATTGGGTTTATGACAGGACATGGCCCCTTTCCCCAAGTATTTTTACGAACGAAACATAGCTTTTTCTCGAGCAATGTATATGTTGGGGAAAGGGGCGACCCCAACCATTACATCTTCAAATGTCCGTTAACAAAAAATTATTACTTGATACTTCCTGAGACTAACATATATCAGTGCTTGCAAATAGCTTTAAAATAAAACAACTAAGATGAAAAATAGAACTCTCCGTTATATTCCTCGCTAGTAGAGGAGAAGAATTGTGCAATACAGGCAAAAAATAACACACTGGAACTTAAAAAAAATTTAAATTAGAATTGACAAAACTACCTACTTGACAAAATATTGAAGGACAAAATTGACAAAAGTACAGACTAAAATTAATATAACGACTAGAGGACGATACAACACCCCTATGCATCCAATAAAATTTTAAATAAACAAAAGATATTCTGAAAAAAAAAATCATATACAAAATAATTTCTGCCTGACTCAGTATATACTCTCTTACATATACAGGCAAAAAGTGCTCTTTGTATTTATGTATATAATAAATGCTATATATGTTTCTAAATGCTTGGGTTTAATCTTCGATTATGGTAACTTGGCGATTTTTTTTTTTTGGCACCAACCCTGCTACATAATTTATCGCAAACCAGGTTGGCGCGATTGTAAGTTTGAGTAAAAAATATGAAATAGAAATAAAATGTACATTTATTAATTACAGATAATTTTTAATACAGTTTTTTTTTCTATATTTTTGTTTTAAAATATAAATAGCAATTAAACCCTTCCGTTTCGAATTTGAATAAGTTGCAGAATTATTTTTTCGGCGGAAATCTTTTGCTATTGCTTTTAGCACTGATTCAAACCGTCTTCGCCATTAACAGCTTGAGCTGGCGGCATATTAAATTCGAGAAGTATGAGTCAAGATGAGGACGGGCTGTTCCTCTCTGTTTTTGCTGCGCCATTTGGCTGAGCCCCACATGCGCTATACATGTTGTGTGTGAATGCCCGTGTTGGGATCCACAAAGTTATATTTGTGATTAACAGTTCCATGCAGAAATCCAGCATTTTCGAACTACTTGTATTGTACCTTTCCAGCAATCCGAATAAATGATGCTTTCTTCTTGATATTTTTCGCAATTTTGTTCATTAGGTACAGTAACCAAAAAGTAATTCTGCAAAAAAGTATTAAAGTATTCAGGGCATTCATCTAACCAGTAAGAAAATAATTTCTTTGCAGAAAACTACGTATAACACGTAGGGTTGCCGTAAGTAGGGTCGCCAAATTTGGCGATTTATGCGAATTTTGGCCTGGTTGCGTTAATACGTAAGTACCGTTTTTTTTTTGGACGCCATTTTGTTTTCACAAAATAAACGTTTTTTCTTTTTTTAACTCAACATTTTTTTTTCCAACAATCTGTTAGCCGAATTACGCTTATGCTAGAACTTTTATGGAACAAAAGGGCATAATCATGACGAAGATTAGGTGCAAAATTGGGAGAAAGTACAGAATTGCGCACTGCTTGCAGCATCTTTTAAGAATTGCACATACACGGTATCCATGTACACGTCGACCTATTTTCACTTAAAAAAACATCCCAGAATTGCACAAACTCTTGACTTTATCCATGTACACTGCTAAAGTCCTAGCTAGTAACCTTTATCGCCTTACCAAAATGTCGCCAAACTACCTGTTACCACATTCCAAAGATTAGCTATGTATTGTTATATGTATGTCATTATGACCCAATATGTTATATATTTACCTTTATGTTATATATTTGCCTTTATGTTCTGTACTTATCATTATGTTCAACATTTACCGTTATGTATTCGAGTATGAAAGGCACCATATGTCACAACTATATTGTAATCATATGAAAAAATGTACATATGTCAAAATTCTTTCAAACAATATTATAATGTTAAAATAAAAAGATAGTGCAGTTGGAAAATAACCACATTACCTATGGTTAAACATTGGGTGTGCGCTGCACTACGACCTGAACCTGACTTTTTATTTTCAAGTTGATGAGGAATCGCCCACTTATATGGCACATATCGATGTACACATGGATAAAGTCAAGGGAGTGAGCAATGCCAAGTTTGTGCAACTCTCTGATTTTTTTTTAAGTGAAAATAAGTCGATGTGTACATGGATACCGAGTTTGTGCAATTCTTTGACTTGTTATTTTCAAGTTGGTGATTGTGAGAAACGTGCAAAAAAGTGGGTGATTCTGCCCATTACCCAAAATTTAATCACAATTTTCACTTCTATATAACTAAACAAATGTCTCATAAATGAATTTTAAAGTGTTTGGTAAAATCCTAGCTCGTTTATGATCATCCTAAATTCTGCGTTAACAGCTTATCATAATGTCGCCAAATCTCGTATGTACTGTATACTAGGATTATAGAGCTTAGAAAAATTAATAGTATTGTAATTTACACATAATACACTAATCAGTAGTGGTTTTAAAGAGGTGTGGAGTTATACGGTCACTTGTAGTAGTGAAGACAGTAAGGCACGAAGAAGATTTTTAGTAACATTCAATATGATTACTCAGTCACTCAAATTGAGCGGTTTTGAGATGCAGACAAAAAAATTTTAACTTGTTAACGCTGACTTTGATATTAACAAAAAGTAAATGAAATTCATAAAAGTATAACTTAAAAAAAATAAGAATTGACTTTAAGGTACCCCTTATATTATTGCAAAGCTGTTGTATCATTTATACGGTAACCCGAGTAGTTGAATGTTATGGAAACCCTTTTATGACGTAACCGCTTGCATTATTCCAGGAAATTTTGAATCGTGGGATGTTTTGTAAGAGCTTTTGTGGTGTGTATTGCTTAGAAGTACATTGCTTGTTTCATTGTTTAGACGGTACAGTAGCTGAATGTAGTAGGATTAATTTGAAGTTTCTGTACGATTTGGAACGAAAGGGGAAATGTGCATTAATTGACTGGTGTGTAAATGAAGGTTTACTTAGTGGCCATTTTCCAGACAGTCCGGAACTATGTTTTTGACTCTTATTTTTGTGAATTTATATGGTGATGCCAATATACGGATTGTAGTTCAGATAATTAATGTTAGGGAGTTTTTGGATGCTGTTAAGGAATTTTGTGTGCCAAAGAATGAAGACGAAGGAATTTCTAAATTACGTAAGTGGATATTTACTTTGTGTAGTGCTAAAATAGTACATAACAGTTTTTCCTTTATTATGTTATTTTATTGTTTGGTTTAAAATGTAGTTTATTTAGATTATGTATTTTTTGTTTGCCTCTACTGTAGAATTGGGTGCTCTTTTGACTTTTCAAGTGAAAATATATCGATGTGTACATGGACAAACTCCAAGAAAGTGCGTAAAGCATAGTTTGCACAATTATCTGATGTTTTTTTAAGTGAAAATAGGTCGATATGTACATGGATAAAGTCAAGGGAGTGCGCAATGCCATTTTTGTGCGATTCTGGGATTTGTTTTAAGTGCAAATAGGTCGATGTGTACATGAATACTGAGTTTGTGCTTGCTATTTTGTCTTTGTGTAATGGCGATTTAGCTTAGTTTGTGCAATTCTGTGATGTTTTTATAAGTGAAAATAGGTTGATGTATACATGGATAAAGTCAAGGGAGTGCGCAATGCCATTTTTGTGCAATTTTTCTCTTGCTATTGGTGGCTAATCTTTGGAATATGGTAACAGGCAGTTTGGCGACATTTTGGTAGGCGATAAAGGTTACTTACCCAGTTTCAATGACGGATTATTTTGTCTGAGAGAAATGAGAGATCATGAGATATGTCATGTGACATTTATGGACGAATCACAGTTCTTTAATCGAAAAGGGGGGAAATTTGCAAAAATATCTGCAGTACTTTATAGCATTTTGTATTTAGCTTCATTCTATGTTGTGTGAAACAGTGTTGCTTAATATTTGATCCCATGGCCTCATGTAAAGTAAATTCGAAATTTTTATTGCGTTTATGTGATAATCCAAAAGAATTGCTTGAATGGTGTATGAGTGTAGGATTAATTGCGGATAAGTATGAATGTCCAACTTGTGGGAATGAAATGAGATTGTGTGAAAGGAAGGATATAACAGATAAGTTTGAAAGGCGGTGCAAGAAATCTGGTGAAAATGGACATTTTGTGATCTGCCATGCACTCAAGATTCTGTAAAAGATTAAGTAAGTTAGTATTTTTAATCACTTGAGGATATTATTTTTATGCATTGTTCTAAATATAAGGAATAAATAAATTAATATGTTATTATTGGAAAAAATTTTATAAGCACTAAATAGTTTAAAGTAATTAAGATTTTAAGCTAATTTTTATTAATTTAATGTATGTGTTTATTTATATTTTAACTAGTGTTTTTTAATTTTTTTTTTAATTATATTTTAATTAAATGATAGTGATTTTGTGAATTATGCGTTTGTAGCATTTTGGAATAGATTTCAGTAAAAGTAAACCTGCATGGAAATAAGTTAAATATTTGACACTAAGTATTTGCAATTATTTTTAATGTTTGCCTTATAAATTCGCAGGTGATGTTTATAATGGATAATTTAGAGGGAAACGTTTTTGGATATTTTATTTATTTTATACGTGCAAATGTTCATCCTTGGAAAGGGTATATACTTTTTCGCGATCAGGTAATTTCATATATGTCCTTTTTACCGACTTTAAAGATTCACAAAACTTTCTTGCATTTTCGTGGAAATTTTTCTAATTTATGAGAAAAAAAGCAGTGTACATGGATAAAGTCAAGAGTGTGCGCAATGACATTTTTGTGCAATTCTGGGATGTTTTTTACAGTGAAAATAGGTTGACGTGTACATGGTTACCGTGTATGTGCAATTCTTAAAAACGCGGCAAGGAGTTTGCGATTCTTCACTTTCTCCCAATTTTGCACTTAATATTTGTCATGATTAAGCACTTTTGTTCCATAAAATTTCTAGCATAAGCGAAATTCGGCTAGCAAATTGTTCAGTAAATAAAAAAAAAGAAATATTTCTTTACTTCGTGAAGACAAAATGGCACCGAAAAAAAAAACTAAGAGGTTGCTGTAGCAGGGTTGGTTGCCAAATTTTAGTGCAAAAATCGCTCCTACACAAAGCCAAAATAACAAGTCAAAGAATTGCACAAACTTGGTATCCATGTACCTCCAAAAATCACCAAGGCGTACCCTAAAATATATTTTACCAAAAAATTATAACGTCAATTAATAGCCCGGAGACTTCTACTTTAAAAGAAAGAAAAAACCCTCCACAAGAATATTGTGGACATTGGCGATTTCCAGTGACAAATTATCTTATGGCAATGCAATTCTCACTGGGGATACACAGCAAAATAATTGTTTTTGATAATTAATGTGAATTTTTTATGTTTTCATTTTCGGCAACTTAAAAAAAGGGCTGATCTTTGGAATATGGTAACTGGTAGTTTGGCGACATTTTGGAGGCGATAAAGGCTACTACCTAGGACTTTGGTAATAATGTGAGAAGCACTCAGATCCGATTACGCATTATTTTGTGTGAGGGAAATGAGAGATCACGAGATATGTCATGTGACATTAATGGACGAATTACAGTTGTTTAAATCGGAAAAGGGGGGAAATCTGGAAATTTCGTATTTAGCTATATTCTGTGTTGTGTGAAAGTGACATTAATGGACGAATTACAGTTCTTTAACGGAAAAGGGGTTAATTGGAAAAGCTTCATGTGTGTTTGTGTGAAATAGTGTTGATAATTTTCAGATTGCATGGCGCTATGTAAAGTGATTCTAAATTTTTAATGTGTTTATCGATAATAAATAATAAGTTGAGATTGTGTGAAAGAAGGATATTACAAGTTTAAATGGCGATGCAAGAAATATGGTGAAATGGACATTTTGTGAAAAGGAGTGTAAGGAAGGGTACGTGGTTTGCGTAAGTAGTTTGAGTATTGGTGAAATTTTTATTAATTTCTTATTACTTGGTGAATAGACTTCCAGTTGACTACTGGATTTAGGATTTAGAAATTAGCAGTAATACGCAGGACGTAATGAAGATTCTGAAGAAGATTAGTTAAGTTAGTATTTTAATCATTTGAGGATAATTTTTATGCATTGTTCTAAATGTAAAGAGTAAATAAATTAAAATGGTTTTATTTGAAAATTGTATTAGCAATGATTTAGTTTAAGTAATTAGGATTGTAATCTAATTTTTATTAATTTAATGTATGTGCTTATTTATATTTTAAGTAGTGGTTTTTTTAATTTAATTATATTTTAACTTAATGATCGTGATTTTGTGAGTTATATATTTGTAGTATTATTTTCATGCATTTTCGTGAAATTTTTCTAATTTATGAGAAAAAAGCAGTGTACATGGATATAGTGAAGAGTGTGCGCAATGCCATTTTTGTGCAATTCTGAGATGGTTTTTTAAGTAAAAATAAGTCAATGTGTACATGGTTTAGTGATATTTTAATTAAATGATAGTTATTTTGTGAATTTTATGTTTGTAGGAATTTGGTATACGTTTTAGTTAAAGTAAACGTGCATGGAAATAATTTAAATATTTGACACTAAGCATTTGTAATGTTTGCGGTATGAATTCGTTGGTGACTTTTATAATATAATAGATAATTTAGAGGTAAAAGTTTTAGATATTTTATTTATTTTATACGTGGAAATGTTCATATTTGGAAAGGGTATATACTTTTTCGCGATAAGTAATTTCATATATGTTCTTTTTACCGGGTTTAAAGATTGAGAAAATTGTCATGCATTTTCCTGAAATTTTTCTAATTTATGAGAAAAAGCAGTGTACATGATATAGTGAAGAGTGTGCGCAATGCCATTTTTTGTGCAATTCTGGAATGTTTTTTTAAGTAAAAATAAGTCGACCTGTACATGGTTTATGTGTATGTTGTATTGTGAAAAATGTGCAAAGAGTTTCCGATTGTGCACTTTTTTCCCAATTTTGCAGTGAATATTTGTCATGATTAAGCAGTTTTGTTAGATAAAATTTCTAGTATAAGTGTAATTTGGCTAGTAGATTGTTGGAAAAAGTGTTCAGTAGATAAAAAGAAAAGAAACATATCTTTACTTCGTGAAGACAAAATGGCGGCGGAAAAAAAAATAGAGGGTTGCTGTAGCAGATTTGGTCGCCAAATTTTCGCCAAGTTACCATAATCCAAAGATCAACCAAAAAAACTTTCCGCTATTTTTTTTATTTTAAAGTGACTTCATACAGTTCATTAATAAAAGTAGATACACGAAGTCATTTCCCGGAAAAAAAATTCACATTTTGCTTATAATACTGATCATTTGCTTCCGTTAAAAATATATATGAATCGTTAACTGTAAAGAATAAAATAACGTGTTCGTGTAAGGAGCGGGTAGTTTCTAAAGAACTGGAAATGACTAGTTCACTTTTTTTAAATTAAATGTTATTCTGCTCTCCAGTATTTCGGCTTAATAATAATTTGTCATAGTTGTTTCGCATGCACTTTATAACCAACACAGAAAGAATGGCTAAATTTCATTACATAAAATTTAACGAGATACTTACACTCAAAAATAATTTTCAACATCAAAAGTCACCAATATGAATAATTAGTAAGTTTTTTTTCTTAAATCATACTTATACACAGATTTAAATCAATGAAGGGAAAGTAATAATGAATTTGAGAATACAGATTACTCAATCAAATCACTGCCTTAAAAATTCAGACGGATATTTTATTTTGAATTTAACCTGTTTCTGTTTCACACACTCGGTGGTTCCACATTACTAACATCAACAACCAGGATACAACTCTTCAGCTCACTTTTAGGCAAAAACTAAATTTGCTGTTGCCAGGCTTTCTTCCCACATTTTCAAAATTATTTTGATTATAGAAAATTAAAAAATTAATTTTTTTTCAAACTAGGATATATTTATCTGATATAATTAGAACTATCTAAAATTTTCAGCTAAATGAAAATAAAAGAAATAATAATAATAAAAAATAATAATAATGACAGACAGACAGACAAAGTAGACAGATAAAGAAAAAGATATCTGACCACTAATTACGGTCATAGTTAACGTACTTCTCCGCGGTTTATTGTACACTAACGTGTATTGTTTTATTCCTATTTCCTAAGTGTTTTTGTCGTACTAAATCTTCGGCTTTTTCGTCATTGAGTGTTTTTGTGTAAGTTTATAAAGCTTTATTATTAAATTATTATACTTCTTTATTTTATGTCATTGTCTAGAAACAAACCGGTATTGTTCTTTGCTTCATAAGCCTATTGCATTACTTTTTGTCACCCGTGTTATAAAAATTATGTGTGGATCTCAAGTTATTTCTTTGTAGCCACATCCTTGGTATTTGAATCCCTAAATTGTTTAATATAGTGCCGATCCCTTTTTAGAACATTTCTCGAATGCATTATTCAAACTGCGTTCGTAAAACATACCGGTTTATTATCATTTTCAGATTCTTTTGAAGAACTTTTGTACATTTTCACAAATATATATATTAGTTTTAAAGAATTTGCTAGCATTTTTATATTGCTTTTCTTTCTATTTTTATGTTTAGTGAAAAAAGCAAGATAAAAATGGAAGAGGAACGATCAAAAAAGAAAGGTAAGACTATCTTAAATCTGCTTTTAATACCCTGAAACATTTTTTGTATATATTTGTCAGTAGATTGTTATTTCTGACTTTCGTGGTTAAAATTGCAAATTTGTTCTCTCAGGCACAAAAAATGACATTTGTAAATCATTAAATACTGTCGTCGACTTTTAGTCCCAAATGCCGTTTATTTAGTGTTTAGGAAAAATAAATGTACAAAATTTGCTGTATGTAATTGATATGATAGTCCGTGTTGGTGTTGGCGAGGGTGTGTGATTTAGCCTTGCCAAGAAACATGGTTACTAATACATACAAGTAATTTATCCGATGTGTACAGTTTATGTAATGCAATTTAATGTAAACTGATATTTCTTATTTTAATTATTGCAGTTTTGAGTTTAATATGGGATACACGGTATTTGGCGACATTATGATGTTCAGTAAACACGGTGTAACACATTATTTTAAAAATTTCTGTACTTTTCTGTTATCGTGACCAGATTCAGAATTGTATACTATATTTGTGTATGTGTATATGCATATGTATAAATGCATATATAAAATCATACATACATTTTTGAATCTGGTCCTAATAACAAAAGAGTTCCAACATTTATTATCAATATGCAACATTGTTGCCTCAAATAATGAATGCCCCTTATAATAAACAAGTGTGTAGGTTGATAAATATCCCATGTACATTATTAATGTGTTAGGAGCCTAATTTGGTTTACATTCTATTTAGCTGGTGCATAAATACAAAAAGTGCATCAGTGTATGAAACAGAAAAAGCAGACAGAGAAGCAACCATTAATCATTTTTTTTATTTTATTACACTAGCTCGCAAACCCGCCAGATGAGTGGGCTGTGGCCAAAGCAACATTTATACAGTATTTACTCTTAAAAGAAAATCCATAAAAGCATTTCAATATGAAATGTTTCAGCTTTATATTGGCTTGACTAACAATTTTTAGCCATATAAAATAGGGTTGTAGCAATCTTGTACAGGCCATCTGTGACTATAATACTGCTGTCGAACTCTGAATCCTTGATCATCATGAGGATAGGAAATTACATATGTCATTGGTTTCAAGTTAAGATTTAAGTACTGATATTAATAAGACCAACACCTCTTGCTAGTATCTCAATATCTAAATTTTATAGAGGAATGTCATCTGGGTTGATCTTTAGATTATGGTAACTTGGCGATTTTTTGGCGAAAATTTGGCGACCAACTCTTTTACAGCAACCCTCTATTTTTTTTTCCCCGCCGCCATTTTGTCTTCATGAAGTAATGTCTTCATGAAGACATGTTTCTTTTCTTTTTATCTACTGAACACTTCTTCCAACAATCTACTAGCCGAATTACACTTATGCTAGAAATTTTATCTAACAAAACTGCTTAATCATGACAAATATTCACTGCAAAATTGGGAAAAAGTGCACAATACCATACTCCTTACGCGTTTCTCAAATAACACATACACACACATTAACCATGTACACGTCGACTTATTTTTACTTAAAAAAAAATCCAGAATTACACAAAATGGCATTGCGCACACTCTTTCACTATATCCATGTACACTGCTTTTTTCTCATAAATTAGAAAAATTTCATGAAAATACATGGCAATTTTCGAATCTTTAAAACCCGGTAAAAAGAACATATATAAAATTACCTGATTGCGAAAACGTATATACCCTTTCCAAATATGAGCATTTCCACATATAAAATAAATAAAATATCTAAAAACTTTTACCTCTAAATCATCTATTATATTATAAACGTCACCAACGAATTCATACCCCAAGCATTACAAATACTTAGTGTCAAATATTTAAATTGTTTCCATGCAAGTTTACTTCAACTAAAACGTATACCAAATTACTACAAACATAAAATTCACAAAATAACTATCATTTAATTAAAATATCACTAAACCATGTACATGTCGACTTATTTTTACTTAAAAAAAAAAATCCCAGAATTGCACAAAAATGGCATTGCGCACACTCTTTACCATATCCATGTACACTGCTTTTTTCTCATAAATTAGAAAAATTTCAGGAAAATGCATGACAATTTTCTGAATCTTTAAACCCGTTAGAAAGAACATATATGAAATTACCTAATAACGAAAAAGTATATACCCTTTCCAAATATGAACATTTCCACGTATAAAATAAATAAAATATCCAAAAACTTTTACTTCTAAATTATCTATTATATTATAAACGTCACCAACGAATTCATACCGCAAACATTACAAATACTTAGTGTCAAATATTTAAATTATTTCCATGCACGTTTACTTCAATTAAAACGTATACCAAATTCCTACAAACATAAAATTCACAAAATAACTATCATTTAATTAAAATATAATTAAATTCAAAAACACTACTTAAAATAAATAAGCACATACATTAAATTAATAAAAATTAGCTTAAAATCTTAATTACTTTAAACTAATTTAGTGCTTATAAAATTTTTCCAATAATAACATATTAATTTATTTATTCCTTATATTTAGAACAATGCATAAAAATAATATCCTCAAGTGATTAAAAATACTAACTTACTTAATCTTTTACAGAATCTTGAGTGCATGGCAGATCACAAAATGTCCATTTTCACCTGATTTCTTGCACCGCCATTCAAACTTATCAGTAATATCCTTCCTTTCACACAATCTCATTTGATTCCCACATTTTGGACATTCATATTTACTTATCCACAATTAAACCTACACTCATGCACCATTCAACCAATTCTTTTGAATTATCACACAAACGCATTAAAAATCTAGAATTCACTTTAGACAGCGCCATACAATCCCAAAATTATTCAACCCTACTTTCACACAACACACAAATGAAGCTTACAAAATAATATACAGCCACAGATATTTTTCCAAATTTCCCCCCTTTTCCGATTAAAGAACCGTAATTCGTCTATTAATATCACATGACATATCCCATGATCTCTCATTTCCCTCACACAAAATAATGCGTAATCGGAACTGAGTACTGCTCACATTATTACCAAAGTCCCAAGTAGTAACCTTTATCGCCTCCAAAATCTCGCCAAACTACCAGTTATCATATTCTAAAGATCAGCCCGTCATCTGCACTCTTGAAAACAAGTGCTTCATTTTCTTTTTGAGTGTTGTGATGTCCTTTTTAGTTCCTTCAGATTCTTTCCGCATCTTGTAAGCTTTTGCATATGGATTGACATTCTTTAAAACTACATCCAATTGTGTCAGCAGTTGCAATCGGATAGCGCGTTCGGCTGTTAACCGAAAGGTTGGTGGTTCGAGCCCACGCGATGGCAGCGTAAAAATATTTTTTTATATAAATCCAACATTCAGAGCAACATTTGCAAGTATATTTATTCTATGCCTGAGGGCTTAATCCAAATCAAAATATACAACTGTTCATACTCTTCTTGACTGGACGTAAAATGGACCAATTGCCAGTTGTTCAGAATATCTTTGAATCATTTCTAAAAAAATGTAATGATTGCTTTACTTTGGATGAATTCGTCACTATCAGTGAGATGTTGCATCCTTTTCGAGGTTGCTTTCAATAGCTTCAGTACATGCCTAGTAAACCATAGAACTGTGGCACAAAAATGTATGCTTTGTGAGACTTAAAAACATTTTATACATCTGGCCTCGAAATTTATTATAGAGCGCAACCTAACAGTTGTTACGCTGTTTGAAACAGTCGTATGGGTGTTCTGAAAAGGGTGATCTCTCCACTTGAAAACTCATGCAGGAATATTACAACAAATAATAACTACATAAGCATCCCACTTGCAGATTAGTTACTGAAAAAGAAACTGTCTCTTATTGGAAAATTGAAAAAATAAGAGGGAAGTGCCAAGGAATGTTTGCCAAATAAGGGACGGATGATGCGAACAGCAGTATTTGTTTTCCAGCCGGGCAAAGTCCTTGTTTCTTACATTTCTCTTAGAAACAAAGCTGTAACTTTTCTTTCTACTATGCCTGATGCATCATATATAATCACAAGTAAAACTGAAATAATCGTGGATTATAATGCTGCAAAAAGAGGAGTGGACACTGTCGATAAATTGTGTGCAACCTATATAGTTTCGAGAATCATAACGAGATGGCCTTTACTATCTTTTTCAGTCTTCTGAATATTACTGCGATAAATGCATAGGTTTAGCACATTCCTGCAAAGCCAGTTAATATAGCCAAAGAATTTTCCTGAAGAATTTATCTATTAGTCGTATGAAAGAGCATCTTCGTTTGGGCACATTACCTTCTGACATCTTCAGTGTTAATTATGCTGCTCCTAATTCTGAAGTGACAGAGCAATCCTCATTGAAGTGAGGAACATGCAGTTTGCATATCAGAGGAAAAAAAGTGATCATGGCATCGAAGTGCAAGACATGCCTTAGATAATACACAGACAAACATCATTCTGTTACCAAAATTATTTGCATGGAAAGCAATGTGAACTTTGAACATTGAGAAATATGTTTTTCTTTTTTTACTGTACTCTTTTCTATTTCTATTTAACTATTCTTTATTTTCTTTTATTTAGAAATAAAAAAATATTGAAATTAAAGTTAGTTTAAAATTAGTTTTTGTAACCAGTAAGAAGTAAATTTCCTTGCAGAGTTAAGTAATGCTAAGCTTATGTTTTTTTCCTAGCAAGGTGAGTGTAGTTTCCTTTTTTATTTATCTACACTTGCCTTTGATGAGTATTAAAACTAGCTTATATTTTAAAATACAGTTATTAAATGAAAAATTTTTGGTTAATCTTTGGATTATGGTAACTTGGCGATTTTTTGGCGAAAATTTGACGACCAACCCTGCAACAGCAACCTGCTGTGGTTTTTACCATGTGTAATGTGTTTAGGAGCCAGTTTTCCTTAGAAAGTCCTCCACAAAGGCATCAATTCCCTCAGGCAGATAGCACACTTGTTTGGACGCCATTTTGTTTTCACGAAGCAAAGGCATTTTTTTTCCTTTTACTCAACATTTTTTTCCAACAATCTGCTAGCCGAATTACGCTTATGCTAGAACTTTTATGGAACAAAAGTGCTTAATCACGATGAAGATTAGGTGCGAAATTGGGAGAAAGTGTAGAATCGCAAACTGCTTGCCGCGTTTTTAAGAATTGCACATACACAGTATCATCCATGTACACGTTGACCTATTTTCACTTAAAAAAACATCCCAGAATTGCACAAAAATGGCATTGCGCACACTTGACTTTATCCATGTACTCTGCTAAAGTCCTAGCTAGTAACCTTTATCGCCTTACCAAAATGTCGCCAAACTACCTGTTACCATATTCCAAAGATAAGCCAAATTTTTAAATTTTCTATAATAAAATACATCATTGCCTATCCACCTCACTAATTTAAGTATTCAAAAATAATTTACTTTTATTTCAATGCAACATATTTGTATTTTGCAATAGTAAGTTTAATATTTTATTTCTTAACAAATTCATTATCAGTATTAACTCATTTCTGTTGTTTTTCATGCCCAAAACATTAAAATAACAGATGTAAAAAATAGTGCTATTTTTATTGCATATTTTGTAACACTTACAAAATTTTTATTAACGAATTCTACGATTTGAAAGTGAGCAGTGGCAGCGCTTTTCGAAGGAAAACATTTTTTTATCTCTAGCATGTGAGACTGTTGCCATGCAGAAAAATGAATGTGAAAATTAGTGTTTTCAGAGTTTTTAATTAATATAACTTCTGATTAAAGTGATACGAAGATGAGAATGATCGAAATGCCTTCTAATGAATTTTTGGAATCCAGGTTTACTAGGAGATGATGTTACAAACACATAGGCATACGTGCAGAGATTTTAATAGTATAGATTGAAGAGTTGCAACCATTTCTTAAGCAGGAACACGAGAAAACTGAAAGGAAGTTTCTTCCGATGAGAAGACTACAAATAGTTCATGCCTACTGCAATTAATTAATAAACTTTGGAAGAAGTCAGAAGAGATGCAGGCTGCAGCTAACCAGAGGTATTCCAGTGAAACAGAAGTGGACAGTGTGTCAGATATATTCATTAATAATGTTACCAAATACTATATGGACACCCCTAAAAAAAAACAAAGATCAAGGACAGTTAAGATTTTCATATCTAATAAGGGATTGTGAATTTTCGTATAGAACTGAATTATAAGACTGTACTTACAAATAGTTTGTAAAAATATATATATAATACGTTTGTAAATTTACAGCATTTCTAACTTTATTGTGTTTTTAATAGCCTCTCAATTTTTTTATGATGTTTTGCAATCTTCGACTGGACTTGAATTGATTAAAATCATTCACATTAACCTGTGAAAATAGCCTCACATAATAATAGTCCTGAAATACTTTGCGTTCATTGTGCAACATAATAGTAATTGTTTGCAGTTCAACTGCTTGCACTTAAAATTACATTTAGGTTTCCCCTTCCCTTACTTTTCCTATTTTATATTATTTATTTAGACTAATATCTAAATATGATATTTATTACATAAAACTAATTTAGTTTTATATAATTTTTTATATGTCCACTTTACTTGGCTTTGTAATATAAGTAAAAATATTAAAAATATATAACATGTAACTAAGAATAATGAAATAAATACATTTGATGGTTTTTTTTCTGTGTGATTTTCAACTGGCAATAAAATAGCATTAGATTTATAGCTTCTTGTGATGCAGTTTTGTGATTTAAATTGTATTTTGTTTGCTATAGAAAAAGAAGCGGCTAAACCATCAGAACTTGAAAAATATTGGCAAGTTGTACGTGATAATCCCTTTGATTTTGCTGGCTGGACTTTTTTGCTTCATCAAATAGAACAAGAAGTGAGTATTAATTAAAAAATTTTTGGTGCTTACGTATTATCCTGTCACTGTAAAAGTTGGCTACCCTAGAACAGACAGAGATAGATCTCTTAAAAGTTAGATCAGTTCTCAGTGAACTGACACCTGTATATTTAATAAACAATCACTGTTGAACCTGCTTCATTTTTGTGTGCTTCATAAAAGGCTTTTCTCAGTTTCTGCTATTTTGATAGGTTCTCCAATTTTATCAAAAGCTTTATTTAGAACATTTTGAGTAGTAATTTTTCCAATCTATTACTTTTTTGTCTGCCATATTCAGCTGACCATGTCGTGTTCCTAATTGTATACTTTTTTGATGATAGGATCCCATAACTTTAAAAAAAAATATATTGGATTACTGTTCTATAGAATGTAGGTCCCAAACTTTAAATCATTTTTACAAAATGTGTTTAAAAAATACAGCGGTAATAACTAATTTAAATCCTTGTTCATAAAAACAAAACATGGTTTATCGAGAAGGGTTAAAAATCAGATGAAAGAGCAGCTGTTATTAGTGTATTGTTATATGACACGTAGCCATAATTGGCACTAAATTATGCTGTTTAGATATAGTTTCACAGTCCACACAATAATACATGTTATATATTATACTGAATTTTCTTTTCTTTAATATATTCAAATACAATAGAATAAAATTGTTCTTGTTTCACTCAAGTTATTTATATTTTGAAGAAAATGAAGCATAATTCTTAAACAATTTAATTTTTATGTAAAATCTTATATAATTAGATATTGCTTGTAAATAAAAAAAAAGAAATTTATATAAGTAAAAAAATAATAATTTTCTTCGTAGTATCAGTGGGACTTTTATTTTGCTTGTGTTGGACATTGACTTCATGTTTCTGTTTTAAATAGTAGTTAGAGTAAGTTGTATAAATATTAACTGTATAAGAATTTTTCATTTTGTTTGTTATCCTTAATTTCATTTTGTTGTAATCCTTAAATTGAAATTCTTTCTATATCATAGTTTTCATTGATTTTTGATTATCTTTGTTTTAATCTGAATTTGAAAGTATATTAAAGTTGTTCCATTATGAATTTTTGTTTTAACAGAATAATATTGAAGCAGCAAGAGAAGCATTTCATGCATTTTTTCAACATTACCCATATTGCTATGGTTACTGGAAAAAATTTGCTGATATGGAGAAAACTCTGAATAATCCTGAAGCTGCTGAAAAGGTAATTAGCTCTGCAAGATTGCATTTTTCTTTCAAACTGGAGCAGATGTTTGACTTAGAGACCCATATTTGCTTACATATGCTATCTCAGAAAATCGATTGAAATTTTTTAGTATTAAATTTAGCATATCAATAAAAAAATTTGTCTTCTGCTTCATGTCAAGTCTGTTACCTTGAGATTATTTTACCCACAATTAGTTTAAAATACAATAACACGCTGAACAAGTATTAATTTAGAAGTCGAACAACAAAAACCAGCGTTATATTTTCAAATTTTCACAGGACTAGTTTCAACGGTTTTACCGAACCATCATCCTCAACTGCAAAAGCACAAATGAACAAGATAAGATTAGATAGGATAAGAAAGATTAAACAGGAGTTAAGCTACTGATACCATCTGTTGATGAAACAAGGAATAATATTCAGAATGGCTTAAATAAAGGGAAAGTAATCGAATAGTCAAAATAATTTCATTTTTTTGGCCAATACATTATACAGTACGAAGGTTGGGAGGTCTCCCCTTTCTCCACAAAATCTTGAATATTGAAACTGTTACAGTTCACTGCAAAACAAGCAACGGACCTTTTTTTTTTTTTTTTTTTTTTTTTTTTGTTGTTGTCACTTTCCAATCTGGATTGAATAGGACTAAAAGTTCTGCGGCTACCAACCCAAGTGAAGAATGATTCTATTCCGGAAATTTAACGCGTCTGTTGAAAATTAGAATGAAAAACACCCCAGTTATTTAATTCTTTATTCTCCCAATACCGGCAGTTGTTGCTTCCGATTGCGTAATATCATGTAGGGAAGAATTACAGTGCACATATTGCACAATGAACACTTAAAAGAGTTTTACTGTGCTTGCTAAGCAGAATATTTTTTAGTTCCGTTGGTTTATTTTTATATGGTGCACATATTGAAATGTCAAAAGCATTTATTTTGCGGAAAAATCTAAAGAGCGGCTACAGTCTACCCCCCCCCTTCCGCTCCTTCAAGTTACGCTCGACTGTCCGAATATTCGCCAATTTCCAAGTATTTGGGTTAGTTAAGCTTTTACTGTTAAAGGATGACTGCATGAAGCAAATTTCTGTCTTCTGATTTCAGAAATATTCCTCTTTTTTACTTAAATTACTTTGCTTGCAATATTTGTTAAGGGAAAACTGATATACAACGAAAATTTAGAAAATGTTCAGAATTTAGATTTAAATTATTTAAATATCAATATGAATGGAAAAAGAAATTGTATTTATTATTAGGTTCCAAGCGAATACAATAAATATGCCTTATTATTATTTATTTTCTCTATTTTGAACTGAAATTTCATCATTAAATCTTGTTATTACAATATAGTTTAGTTCTGCATAGTTTTTTTTCTCTCATTGTAAACTAGTTCTGTAAATTGAACTATTATTAAAAAAAAAAAAAGTAATTATTTTCCATGGTTGAGGTAATGCTTATTCTCTCTTAACAAGTACTGCATTTCTCATATTTTAAATTACCAGTCTAATTTTTAAGGTTATGCAGTTGTGTATGATGTAATTAGGCAGGTGCTTATTTTTTTTCTTAAAATGTGCATGAAAAGTGCTTATAGGTGCTTATTTTTTTAACTAAAATGTGGCTATGAACCCTGGTTATCAATCTTAGCACTGTGTTGTTGATGTTGGAAGTGTTTTAGCAAAGGGCTCACACTTTGTCTTATAAAAACAAAGTATCAGTAGAATTGCTAATTATTTTATTAATTCACTATAACATGTGTATTAACCTTTCTGAGTTGCATGACCGCTTTTATACAGTCACGAGATTTTTTTGTCACTTATTAATACATTAGCTTTTTATTTAAAATTTGGTACTTTCTTACTTGCTTTAACGATGTAAATATCATTTTAAGGAATGGAAGTTTATGAAAACAGATTCTAAAGTAAGTAGTTATACAAATTTGGCTAATAAATGCTGTTTAAATACAGGTGTTCATGAGCAACTTCAAAAAGCTGTGTTTCTGAGCGAGTTAAAGCTATGCAGTTTACAAAATTCATGGAGAAAATACTTCATAATTTATAGAGAAAATAATTAATAAATACATTTTTTCTATGATTTGCAGCTCAATTGACAAATTATATCTATTTGATATAAACTGAAATACCAAATACTGCACACAAAACTAATAATTTACAGAAGTTTCAGGTGTTTTAAAAACAGTGGAATGTGATACACCTTCAAGGTCAACATGCATTTGTACCATTTTTAAATGCTCATTATTTTAATATACCAGTAATATGTCAGGGATTCTTGTACTACTAGTTCAAAGAAAGCGGGGCTAAAAAATTTGACATCTTGCTGTTAACAGGCTTGCTACTCTGGCGCTGATACTCTGCTGCTGTCAAAGAGCAGAACATTGTGTGTATGATCCACATCTAGAAGGGTACTTCAGGCAATTTTTGTCAACCTTTTGTCAAATCCATGTATAATTCAGGAGTCCTTTTTTTTTTTCGCTTATTTATTTATTCCTTGAAAACTACATCAGATGCATGTCAATACTTGACTTACATTAAGTTTGTCTTTCTGAGAACAAGTGTCTTGTATGTTTAATTTAAGTAAGTCCAAATTCACTGTACATATCTAAAATTTAAACAGGTGCTGGGAAAAGCTATCTAATTTCAATAAATTTATTGATGAGTATCAAATGTTTTAACATCAAGATGACAGGATGAAGTCTTTTTGTTTAGTTTTCTATTCAACAATATCTATTCAACAAGTCAAATGTTCAGACCTCACTCCTCTTATACAATCCAACTCACATTAAAGAAAAAATCTAATGGGGACATGACTTCCTTGTATGGCCTATTAAATTCTATACATTTTCTTCTGCGTTCCATTTAAACTTATTTCCTCGAATTTCATTAGAGATATATTTCTCTTTTAATTCTGTTCTCACTTTGCAGCAAGGCAAAAATGCATAAAAACTAAAAACATCTTCATTAAAAATTTAAAAATATAGAATAACATAGAACACCAAATTAAAACTCTTTAAAAAACAGTTTTTGAAATTAGAGTTTCTACATAGAAACAGGCGATTCAGCCAGCAGACAAGACAGCATATTTTTTGGTGTATCAAACTGAAAGTTTACTTTTGGTCCCACTCAGCAAAAAGGACATTGATAGTCCAAAAATTGACTTCATTAACTATTCTACTATTTTCAAATGTAAGCAGAGGGCTGCTACATTAGGCTTTGTTGCACTTACAACTTTTAAATTGTTTATAATTCTACAACTATTCAGTTGATTAACTAAAGGTATAAAATCCTTAACCAGAACATAAGAACAACATAATTCAATCACTTTTCTTGCAAAAAATGCACCATTTACCGAGATATAAGAATAAAAAACTCAGCTCAGCCGGGTAACAGAGTGGTTGTTTATATTCTCTATTAGTATAAAGCTAATATAAATTTAAAATTTAATAAAGAAATTTTAATTGTAAAAATAAAATTAATGCTGAGAACTAATTTACAATATCATTTAAATTCTAAGAGCATATGTAAATTAAGTGCACGTATCTAAAACCATATATATTCCAAAAAATTAATCTCAAAAATTTTTTTAAGGAATTTTTAAGACCAAATTAAATTGCATAAGTATATAATTGTTGGCAGGCAGGAGACAGACTTATCAAACCTCCAAACTTAACTCTTCAATTACTCAATTCGTGTTTCCTCATCCATATAGGCAAGGGTAAAAGTAAAATTCACAACAAAAAGTAAAACCTAAATTACTACTGCTCAACAATTATTCACTAATGTAATTTAATTTGGTCTTAAAAATTCCTTAAAAATTTTTTGAGATTAATTTTTTGGAATATTATATATTTTTCCATGGTTTTAGATACGTGTATATATTTTCCATGGTTTTAGATACGTGCGCGTAATTTACATATGCTCTTAGTTTTGATTTTTTATTTAAATTTATTAAATTTATATTAGCTTTATACGAATAGAGAATATTTGTTAAATTCAAATTTCATTCCTTGCAGCAATGGCACAAGAGAATTATTTAAATTTAACTTAACTTTACAAAGTCCGTAATCCAGACGTCCATTATTCGGAATAATCTATAATCCGGACATCAAAGCCACAAACTTTTTTTTGTATGCTTTACGCATGCGTGTAAAGAATGCGCATTCATTACGCGCCCTATACTTCCACGGTCATAACACCTTTATTCTGTCCTCTTATTAGGTATAGCGCATGCTATATTTGTGTTAGTACTTGAATAACCCTTATTCTTTGTATCTTAAAAGCGGATTTTTCTCATAAATTTTTAATTTCTCTTTGAATTCAGAAATAGTGTTACACCCATGCAAAATAATTTTGTTACTACTCTGATCCGGTATCCCATTGATTACATAATCAAGAATTGAAGAATCATTAACAGAACCTGACTGGCTATTTCACACATGGCAATTAAATATATGGAAAGGATCCACCAGGTTTTAAGTGTCGTTTAAGTCTAGGCATAGTCTAAATGAACCGCATTTTTTCTACTTAGCACGATATTACTTGTGTAATCAGAACAGCTTGCTAAATGAACCGCATTTTTTTTTCTACTTAGCACGATGTTACTTGCGTAATAAGAACAGCTTGGCTTAATGATTTGTTTCTCTAACCACTCTGAAATCTGTTTATCAATTTCATGCTGGTCTGCGGAGGGGGGGAGTGTCACGGCGTGCAATGAACTGGAAATTGATCTGTCAGCACTATCCTCATCTTCAGGACAGATGTTTTTATTTTATTCGGCTTATAATTCCTTACTAAATGTAGTATTTCATCTCGATGTACTTCGTCTTACTCATCTGTTAAGCCATCCTTCTAAATAATTCTTTAATTCATAGTAGAAATCATACCAAGTAGTTTCAGTAGATTTTTGGTGTTTATTTAACCTTCCAGCACGCGTGCATGCGCAAAATTTACTACAAATTCAGTTTTTAATGCACTTTTTTTGCATATCGAAGCTGACATCTGAAGGTCATTTTTATTCCTCCTTTCTACCCTTCCCCACATCATAGAATGTGCCAACAGGAACTCATTTGACTATTTTTTTTAACTGGGCTTTTGGGTTATGTCGCCGCGTTTTCATAAAAGTTACGACGCACACATAGTTGTGTTTTAAAATTTGGAAATTAATTTTTTTCTTAAATATTTTGCGTTATTAATTGCCGTGTATTATTTTAATTTAAATACATTTGGCTCTGTAAATTTTATATTGGTTTTCATAGCCAAAAAATATGTGCAACCAGCTGATTTTGCTCGGATTCTTCAAGAATTATCTGATGAAGAAAAGGAAACCTTTGGATGGGAGAACAATAGTGATTTCCATTCCTTATTTTATTTTATTTCTATTTCTTAGAAATAAATAAAAACATTAAAGTTAGATTAAAGTAGGTTTTGTAACCAGTAAGAAGTAAATTTCCTTCCAGAAGTAAGTAATGCTAAACTTACTTTTTTTCCTACCAAGGTGTTTTCCTTTTTTATTGTCTATACTTGTCTTTGATGAATATTAAAATTAGCTTCGATTTTAAAATATAATTATTAAATAATAAATTTAAAATTTTCTATAATCATTGCATTTCCATCTCACTAACATAAGAACTTAAAAATAATTTACTTATATTTGAATGTGAATATTTATTTCTTAACAAATTTATTATCAATATTCACTCATTTCTGTCGTTTTTCGTGCCAAAAACGGTAAAATAAAGGATGTCGTAAAAAATACGACACGCGTGTTCTGGAAGGTTAATAGTTGTCAAAATTTTTCCGCTCTCAGTTTAATCGTTGTAACAGTAAAATTTTTTACATATTCATATTTTTTCTCATCCTCTTCTGGTTCTCTAGCAATATGCTGAACAATGTCAGGAGCCAGCATTGAAATAAGTTGAGTCACTTGATTTTCAGCAGGTATATTCATTATTTTAGCTTGATGCTCAAATAACACCAGAAATAAACTTATTTTATCTTCTTTAGTGTTGAAGCATGACATGACATCGTGAATTCTGATTTTTAAAGGCTGCTCAGGTAACTGCATTGTTTCTACTGGCTGTGCTCTGGCAGCCATTGCTTCCAACTGAAGTTTCTGTAGCTTAAAGGCTCTAATTTGCTCTTCTCTTTCACGCTCTTTATTTCTTTCCCTTTCTTCTCTTTCGGATTCCTTTTCTCTTTCTTCTCTTTTGTTTTCTTCTTTTCTTTCCCTTTCTTCTCTAATACGAAATTCACACTAATCAATTGGAGAGAATTATTTAAACAACTTTGCCAGGTTGGCACAAAATAATGTAATACTATGTCGGGTTGATGTTTTAACTCGCTATTCACAAGCCTCGTAAGCTATAAACACCTTTGCCAGTTAGGCAATACAATGGAATTTTACGCACGTCAGTTTGACGATTTTACTATCTCTCTCCACGCCTGGTTGGCAATAACAAGCAATTTTTGCCAGTTTGGCAATACAACTTTTAGAATATACAATCTGTAATAAATCAGGATGACATTACTATTTTTACCACACGCCTGGATGGCGAGAACTAAATAAAAGACTTTTGCCAATTCTGCAAGTTAATCAAATCATGTTAGTTAAAGACTACTACTTATTTTCCATGTACCTGCTTGGCAACAAATTCAAAAACTCAGCTGGGAGTTCTTTTTTTTTATCAGTTATTTCACACAAAAACTTACACTATTTAAATATAATTCTGAAATGAAATATTTGAATTCAATAAACACTTTTTTATGAAACCAAAAGTTAATCTTATCTTTGAGGATCAGCAATATCCTGTTCTGACAATTCTTTGCTCGGATGCGAGTTATAGAAACACAGAAGATAACCTTTGAATGATCCGCTTCAAAATCTGGCTTTAAAACGGCAGACTTCTGACATCCATTTCTCCTTGAAATAAACAAACTTGGCAATTGGTATTAGCAAACTTGTTCTAAAAAATTCAGCAATTTTCTGGAGGACCAGCACCATCGAAATCGATAATTGCACTCCTAATTTCCAGGATCTTGGTGAAACCTCAATTTATATGACTGTTACGTATTTTTCAGTAATTGACAAAACAGATAATCTTCTTTAAAACATAAATATTATTTTTAGTTTACAGAGATAGATAATTTGTATACAATTCTTAAGTGGCAAAATTTCATACATCTACTAGCTAGTAAAACTTCAGTATTCCAAACTTAAAACTATTTCTTACATTGCTGAGCAATGGTTACATCATACAAATATGGCATTGCCACTTCAGCAATAAATATAGTTATTTGATAAATAACAAAATATTACAGTGTTGAAAGAAATATTTAATAAAGTAAACAGATAAATATTAAGCTTTTTTTGTAAAATTTGATACCATTTAGATCATAATTGCTCTTTATTTCATAAATTATGGTTTCATATTTTTAATTGTATAATTTCTGCATTCCATCTTACCAGATTTAAATTGATGATCTATGATTCGGAAAAAACCCTAATCCGGAACCGAAGTCCCTACGAGTCTGGATTACGGACTTCTACTGTATATACTTTTTGTGCTGCCGATTGCAACCAGAAAGGGAGGTGCTCAAGTACGTTACAGAAGTCCCATATACAAAATTTCAATGTTCTGGGGCTACTTGCTTTTGATTTATGCGAGACGCATACATATACATACAAATGTACATTAATACGTTTTGGGAAAAAGAGACCTTTATTCCGGCCATACATACAGATGTTATGCAAAAATATCGTTCAGATGGATTCGAGAGCAGTCAAAATGGATATTTTCTTTGAAATATGACACCCAAAATTTTTGCCATAAATTGCTTTGCATAGTTAAATTTACTGATTATTTTATATAATTTCTGTGTTTTAAATTTTGTACTTTTAAGGATGTTTTTAGTTTATATCAAATAGATATAATTTGTCATTTGAGCTGCAAATCATAGAAAAAATTTAATTGTTAATTATTTTGTGTTATTTACATGTTCTTTCTTTTACATTTTGATTTAGATATTTGAAGAAGGTACAAAAGCTATTCCTTTGAGTGTTGACCTGTGGATTCATTATATAAATTTTTATATAGCTCAACAGGCTGATAAGGAAAATTCTTATGAAAATATTAAAGCGTGAGTTTTTTAATTTTGCATTAATTAGCTTCTTGTGTTGTTACATAAAAACAAACTGCTTAAATTTAATTTTATATTCGTCATTAATGTAGGTTATTTAAACGTGCCTTAGCAGCAGCAGGACGGGAATTCAGATCTGATCGTCTGTGGGATTTGTATGTGAACTGGGAAGAAAAAAATAAAAAGCTCAAAGAAGTTACCAATGCGTATGATCAGCTTCTAACCATTCCTACTCAGTTATATAGCCATCATTTTGAGATGTAAGTTTGAGAATTGTCTCTTTTTAATAGAATTTCTTTATGAGAATGTTTTAAGGTAAAATTATGTGTGATAAGTTTTTTTTTTTGGAGGGGGGCAGAGAATTGTCAGTCATCCCATGTATTGACATCCAAAAAACTTCAAATTTTTCTTATTACAGGTGCCCAAATGTAGATACTTGTATTACAACTATGATTTTTCCTTGAAGTTTTGAATTTATTTATATTATTTATCAAGAAGCTTTGACTTCAGATCTTGTATTCTAATTTATCTATATTGTAAAATATTTATAAGGGAAAAGGAAACTAAAGTCTTTCATTTTTAAAAGACTGATTATCTTCTTTACATTATTCTCTCATGCCATCTGAAAGAAAAAAAAGAAATATGTATTTTGATTTTTTTTTACCATTGTATTACTAAAACTAATTTATTCTTCATGAAAATATTTCATTGCTTAATTGAACAACTAGAGCACTGTTCGCAATGTTAATAGTATTATTAATTAAAAAAATTTTTTTTTTTTTTTGTTGAGTCTATGAGACTTTATCAAACTGAGAATTAAACATGTTTATTTCCCAGAAGAATTGGATATTTACAAACTTTTCTTAATTTTTACAGGTTTCGTAAACATGTAAAGAAAAATACTCCCAGGGAAATTCTTTCAACTGATGAATTTCTTGAGTTGAGACAGAGTGTTGTAAAAGCTCTCAAAAGTACTGCAGATTCAATAATAGATGATGAGGATGATGATGAAAAGATCGCTGATAAGTGTGAAGATGCATTACCACCCGGGATGGAAATAGATGATGCTCCACCTGGCTTAGAAGCAGATGGTACTACTATTGAAAAGGACATGGTATATTTATGTTATAATTTTTCTTCCAGTTTAGAATCTGAGCATTATATACAAGATTGCACAGAAGTTTTCATGTGTAGACTGACATTGTGAAATATTGTGCGCAGCAAAATTTTTATTTTAATAGCATAAAACAACTTTCCTAATTATGTGTGTTCCCCCAGATAAACTTTGATGTACGTATCAACTTATCGTACATATGGAAGAATTGTAACACCCTATAATTTACATTGCTTACTATATTTTCATTTACTGCATATTCCGGAATATAACTCGCACCTATAATTTCAAATTGTAGTTTTAAACTTTTAGGTATATTTGCAGTATAATGGGCAGCTTTTTTTATTTATAAAGAAACCGTAAAGATATATGCATAATGCTCTTATCTTTTGAAGTCATTTATTCAAAGATTTTTCTGAGGCTTTTGATAATGGTATAGTGAATTCACAAGAAATAATGGAAACAATATGTATGTCGAGAAATGTTTGAGAGAGTAAAACATTCTGCTAAGACAGTGAGTTATATACAATGCAGGTGTGCACAAGAATGATATTTTAGCGTATCGAGAAAAGAGGGACATAATTTTGGGTAAGAATGTACTTCCAACCTGAATGAATTCACATACGAGTCAGATGTTTTCTCTTTATATAGTGATTTGAAACCATGATTTTGAAGTAAACATCGAAGACTTAAGTAAATTACATTTCCTTTAGTTGAAATACAGTTGATCCCGGGATCTTTTTAGTAGAAAATGTGGGTTCTGCCAAACAAAACAAATACAATGCTGGTTTCAGATGCAAAGTCATTCAATTTGCGAAAATGGAAATTGTACTGCTGCAAGGGTGTTTAATTAATCTTGGTGGGAATTCTGGATAGATGAGCATATAAAAATTGGAATTCATGATAGAAGAAGCAAATTAATGGAGAGGAAATTTGTAATCTAAAATTATAGTCTCATAGTATTTGTTATAAGTATTAATATAAAACACCTACATTTAACATATGTAAGATTTTGAAAAGGAAGTCTATTTCAGAACTGTCATGTTGCTGTAGTCCTTAAAAACGTATAAAAGTAAAACATCATACCTGATTGTAAAATCCTGTTGAACATGAAAGTTGGTGGAGATCAACGAAACTTGCGCCAGTCATTCCAATAGAAGTTTGAAAGAAAGCATCACTGTTTTTCAAACTAGATAATCAAGACATACAAGTTGCAAATATAGCATATAAAAAACTTCATTTAATTGCCTTAATTTTAAAATACATTTACACAATGACAATGCCTTCACACTGCATTGTCATTGTGTAAATGCCATGTATATCCATTATTGGAGCTGAATTGTTCTGTTTTAGTATTAGTTTTTGTCAAAATTTGTCAATGAGATAGTTGTAAATTGTCGATGCTGCGGAGAAAAGTTCTTGTGATAGACAGACTAAATGCATATCACGAATCTCATATTCTAATTCCCTGTGCTGTATTAATTCGTGTCTTCTCTTTGTCAAAGTCTAAGGGGGAATTAGTATACAAAAAAGATCCATGTAGTCCTATCTGAGCTTGTAATGGCTTTACATGTCTTTCGTTTGCAATTTTTAATATTTAAGTTTATAAAATTTGAAAAATTCTTATTTAGTTAGTTGAATGTCAAATAGTTAGGCTTTTACTGTATGTAAAACTTTTAAGACGTAACACATTAAAAATTTGGGGGTGGGAGGATTTGGTTCTAGATCTGAATCAGAATTGCTTAAAAAAAAGTGATTTATAATTGTATAACTGAAATATGTTTTTCATGTTTACTCAAATATGATGCAAACATGTGTTATATATAAAATTATATTATTTGTCTTTTTTTTTTTTTTTTTTTTTTTCCCTCCAAAGAGCATGTACATACAGTTGTTTTGGAAAGTATGGTCTTCATAATCTATTCTATTGTTGAACTTTTTTTTCTTTCATTTGATATTTTAACATAAATAAATAGTAATTCAAATTATTTTCTTAATGGGTTTAGGATAAAATACACAACACATGTTATATATCAAGTTATATTATTTGGCTCCCCCTTTTTTTTCCCAAAGAGCATGTACATACAGTTGTTTTGGAAAGTATGGTCTGTTGAAATTTATGATCTTTTTTCTTATTTGTATTTTTAACATTTGATAAATAATCTTTTGCTTACCTTTCTTGATGAAAATCCTCAGTAATGCTTGGAATTCTTTTCCATTTTTTTCACACAGAAGCTTTATTTACAGCTATGTACAACAATTGTATGCTTACATCAGAACATTCATCATGATTCTCCGGTTGCCACTACATATATACCAATTATCTATACCATGCAATGCGGTAAGGAAAAAATAACAAGCGAAAAATAAAAAGGCTGCACCCTATCATAGCCAGCTACATAAACTGTAACATCCTCCCCTTAGATGAACTCTTGGTTCATCAAAGGATTGGATTCTTAAGCTATCTTAAACACTAAATGTTTTTAATGTTCTATAAGTTTAAAATGTTCATAGACGCAGTGTTCGTAATTTAAATTCACTGTATTCAGTTCAAAAAGTTCAAGTCATTTCTATCGGGTACAATAACTGCACAGGATGACGAAGATGAGTTTCATTAGCTAAACGGACACAAGCCCTTATTTTCCCATCTCGTCCTGGATGACACTTCTGTAGAACTCTCATCTTCCATAATAATCTTGGTAATTTTTCTTCATGCACTAGAACTACAGATCCCTTCAAAAGATCTGTTACGGCATTACCTCTCTGAGTTTGTTTGCGTTTCTTATTTTCAAGTAAGTATTCCCTTTTCCATCTTTTCCAAAACCCTTCTAATAACCTGAGCCAGTATTTATATCGCCTTTTTAAATTTTCTTTAGTTGAATTGAGTTCAAGAATTTTGCCAGATGGTAAGGATGTCAGCCTTCGTCCAACTAGAAAATGAGCTGGTGTCATCGGTTCTGTTTCTCCAACTTCACTATAAACATAAGTCAGCAGACGTGAATTCAATATTGCCTCAATTTCAATTACAACTGTTTCCAACTCTTCAAATTTAAGTGAAGCCTTCATGAGTATTTTCTTCAAACATGATTTGATAGATCTAACAAGCCTTTCCCAGAAACCAGCCCGCCAGGCTGCCTTCTCCACATTGAATTTCCACTCAGTACCTTTATTACCAAAATAATTTTGAACTTCTCTGTCCTTGATGGAATTCTATAGTTTTTTAAATCCTCGTCTGCTCTTTTGAAGGTTTTTACATTGTCTGAATATATCATTCGGCATACTCCTCTTCTTGAAATAAATCTTCTAAAGGATCAGAAGAAAATTTTTGTTTGCAGTTTGGCTAGATGCTAGTTTCCAGATGCACTGCTCTGGTTATAGCGCATGTATACGGAGCAATATAAGCTTTACCAGTTTCATCCTTTGTACTCATAGGACCAGCAAAATAAAGTCCTACAACTTCGAAGGGATTTGCCTCTGTTATTGTTTTGGTTGGTAAAGGAATGATATCCTGACATTAGTGGCTTAGCTTTAAATCTGTAGCAAATCACACACTTGTTAATATTACTTCTTTACATGCCCTCGAACCTTAAGTATCCAAAATTTTTCTCTAACTTGAGTTAAAGTTTCAGCTACACCAGAGTGTCCTTGCGTTCGTGACAATCTTTAATGATATGATCTGTCAACTGAGACTTCTCAGGTAATATTGCTGGGTATGTTTGATTATAGCTTAATTCAGCATTTTGAAGCCTTCCACCTACTCTGGGTATTCCACGTGAGTCTACAAATGGATTTAATGTAAATGTTTTTGAACTATGTATGTTTTGTTTCATCTTTGATTTCCTTATTTCTTCTCTAAAATTTTCTTCCTGAGTTTTCTTGATCCAGAAATTCTCTGCTTCATTCATCTCTTCAGCCTTGACAGGTCCAATTCTTCTTAATTTTGGGTCACTGAAGTTCTCGATAGGGATGATAGGTTCGCTGTTTTCAACAATAGTTTGCTGTTAAGATTTCTTGCTTCTTTCCTTTTCGTGTCTCAGAATAATCTTTTGCTTACCTTTCTTGATGAAAATCCTCAGGAACGCTTGGAATTCTTTTCCATTTTTTTTCACACAGAAGCTTTATTTACAGCTATGTACAACAATTGTATGCTTACATTAGAACATTCATCATGTTTCTCTGGTTGCCACTACATCTATATCAAAATCCGCAATGCGGTAAGAAAAAAATAACAAGCTAAAAGTAAAAAAGCTGCGCCCTCTCGTGGCCAGCTACATAAACTGTAACATGGTCTTCATAATATATTCTATTGTTGAACTTTTTTTCCTTTCATTTGATATTTAACATAAATAAATAGTAATTAAAATATTTTTTAATGGGTTTAAGATGAAAAAGTACACAAAGGTGTAAAAGAAGCTACAGGATTCGAGTGTAAGTGAAATTACAATTGAAGCATTATCATAGGTTTGAAACTGCTGTTAAGATTTTATTTGAAACTATATAGCAAAGATTTTCAGTATTTAAGATAATACAAGGAAATGTAAATAATTAAATGTTAAATATAGACTAAAATGTATGAAAAATAAATCATCCTTCTAATGCAAATAATTATGTCAATGTCTAAAACGAGTGAAATTGAAATCTCTCTTGTTATAGGAGACATTTTTAATCATTTATACAAGCTAAAAAACACTTGAAGCACATATATATTATTCTACTATTATTTTGTATTTTGTTATATGCTATGAATAAAATATATAAATATGTTAGTTTTATGATAAAATAATAATGCTATGAAATGTTTGTTGTAGATGAGTGCCCGGGAAATCGATATCATGAAGCAAAAGATTGTTGAAAAACGAAAGCTCTTGCATGAAAAGAATGAAATTGAAGTTGGAAAACGATGGTCTTTCGAGGAAGCCGTAAGTATAATTATTTAATATCATGGAGTTGAGAGAACATAATACAAAAACCAGCATGCCCCAGTGCATAGAAATTATTTTATAACAATGTCTGTATATGACCATTTACATGCAGTTTCTATGCTGAGAATGTGATTTTTGAAGCCCTGATTTCTTTATCATGACAGCGGCCCGTCTCAGGTATGGAAATTACTGTAGTCCCTTAGGGTAACTTTAGTATTATCCCACAGGATGGTGTTTTTTCAACTAACATGAGGACTATTTTTCTTTTCAGATCAAACGTCCGTATTTTCATGTAAAGCCACTGGAAAGAGCACAGTTGAAGAACTGGAAGGACTATCTGGATTTTGAAATTGAAAATGGGACACATGAGAGCACTGTTATCCTTTTTGAACGGTGTATGATTGCCTGCGCCCTATATGAAGATATGTGGCTTAAGGTAGTATTCCCCCCCCCAAGATTTAATTTTATTATTTTTAACAATAATTAAAGTTAGAGAATGAAATTAAAAATCGAGTTTCTATTTTGGATAGCATTTATTAATTATCTATTGCTTGCTTATGACTGATCAGTTGCATAACTGCTTTTCATTGGAAGTTATTTTACTTCATATTTGCGTTCTTTGGCATTCAGAGCTAGGTGCAGTTTGAAAATATATTACTAAAATCTCTTTTATGGAAACAAATTAAGAAATTTTTTAGGAACAAAATTGTATTTTATGCTCAACATGTGATTTTATTTTACAAAATAGGTCATCTGAAAACTTGTGGCTTTAAATCTCTTACCTTCATCTCTCATCATATAAATAAAAATAAGTATATGCAACACTGAAAACAAAAACTTGTTAAAGGATTTTTAATTGAAGTTAAAAGCAAGATAAAATACTGTAGGGCAGGGCTTCTTAAACTTTTTTCAGTCATGGCTCCCAGGACCCCATAATATGTATGAAAATTTTGTGGGATCCCATAAGCATTACGCAAATCCAACACACGCGTGTATGAAACTGTCAATTTTTTCACTTGTACTGTAATATACTATTGCAGTTTTAGGTCATTAACTTTAAGACAGAAAATGTGAAAATTTTAAATAAGTAACAGAGTGCAAAGCAAGTAAAATGAACGTTTCTATTATAAAAAGAATGCTTTGAAATGTTTTTGTTTTTCTTTGTTTATTGTCTTTTTTTTTATCTATTTTCAGATACATTGTGTAAAAACATTTGGTAATTGCAAAATTATTATACAGTCAAAAGTCGTTAATCCGGACTCGTCGGGACTTCGGCGATTCCGGATTATCGATTTTTCCGGATTATAGATCATCAGTTTAAATCTCGTAAGATGGCATGCAGAAATTCTAAAATTAAAAATATGAAACCGAAATTTAGAAATAAGAACAATTATTATTAAAGGTATCAAAATTTGCAAAAAGAAAAAAAGCTTAATATTTATTTGTTTACTTTATTAAACATTTCTTTCAATGTAAGTTGTTAAGTTTTGCTTCGTTTCATGTGATAATACTTTCTCTTTAATTCTATTAAACAGACATAATTTCTGTTTTGTTTTCAATAACCTCTGTCACTTTTCTTCGCTATCGGAAGCGAATTATAATGACGAGGAACTTGTTTTAAATCATATCAAAGACGGAGCATATCGAGATGAAATACTACAAGGAATTATAAGCCAAATAAAATAAAAACATCTGCGCTGAAGATAAGGATAGTGCTGACAAATCAACTTCCAACTCATTAGGCGCCCGCCACCGAGCAGCGTGAAATTGATAAACAGATTTCGGATTTCAAAACATACTTTCGCTTTAGATCCTTTACATATTAACAAATATATATCGGAAATTCTATTTGATATAATCGAAAGTTTAAGCTTACTTTTATAAAATTGCTCTTACAGTCTGCAAAAAATAATAAGCCGGATGCAATTCGAAAATTAAGGAACAACGCAATCATCAACATTAACTGAAACAGATAATTAGATAATTTTAGCTTATACGTCCATTATACATAAAATGCGCACGCGAAAACGTATTCTGTACTTGCGCACACTCATATGCGCAGTCGTAAAAGGTCTTACGCGCACGCGTGAACGCCTCTGCGCATGTGTCAACGTGGCGCATGCGCAGAAAGTTTTTAGTTTTGATGTCCGGATTATAGATCATTCCGAATTATGGGTGTCCGAATTAACGACTTTTGACTGTAATAAGAAATATCAAAACTGCTAAAATTTTTGTCAACCCCCCTTGCTGCAAGTACCGTGACCCACTGTTTAAGAAACTCTGCTCTAGGCCAACAGTTTGAAATCATGATTAAACACTAATAAAGTGAAAATGCAAGAGCTTTATCAGCTGGAGCTGGAATATGTGGCTTCATCAGATTCATGCTCTTTTATTGCTTTCCACAGGATGGATGTGATTCACTTATAAGAAAGGTATTTTGCAACACATTTTGGTGGTGGTTTCATTTGCTTGTGTAATTTTTTAGAGTGTTTTTTTGTCAGTGTTTGGTTATGAGTTTGGTCTTATTTCATTCAGTTACTGAATGTAGATGCTTGGCAAATTACTTGATTGAAGATGTGTTGTTTTCATTGATTAACTAGTTGGCAGAGAGGTTGGACATATCGTTTTTATGTTTGGCAATTCCTATCAATAGTTTTCTGGATTTTGAGCTGATATATTGAGTTTTTATGCTTGTGTCTTCATTGCGAATTGGAATAGTATATACATTTAAAAAATCTCTTGTAGCAATATCTGATTTATTTGATCTTAACAATTTCCAGATGGATAATGATAAGTTTATAACCAAATGTTTTAATGAATAGGATGATCGGATAGTAGTGAAAAGTTCCTATAAATGTACTATATTTGATGCTTGCATCGGTAAAGACTTACAGACTAATGTTTTTGAGAAATGCCTTGAAGTTTATTTACTGATTTCTTTGGTGAGTTTTTTGACAAAATCAGTAGGATATTTATTGTTTTCAGAATTTTTGGTATGTAATTATATTCAATTGCCTGTAACTCCAATGTGGAACAGAAATCCTTAGCAGGTTTCAAGTAGAAATAAAAGGTAGCTCTTTTTTGCAGATGAAGGGTATTATTGCTGGGTGTTGAGTTGGTTTGCGTTATATTCTGGTCTAAAGAGAGTTGCTGTTTATAACGATTTAATTTTAAGAAATAGCATTTCTCTTCAGACCACAGTGTATTAATTTTGAATTTGTACTTTATTAAGTCCGAAATGTGGCAACATTATTTTCTCTCCTAAGGCTGTATTAGAAATCAAGTACCAAATATACGTTCACTTTTCAGATCCTGCTACAGCTGCCAGAATCTCAAAGACTTTTTGACATGATTAAAATTCCAACTGTAATTTTGGTAAGGTAGCTGTAATAATAGCCTGCAGGACAACTTGAAAAATATCATTTCTTTTCCTCTTTGCCAACCTTTACAAGCACTCAAGGCTAGAAAGTCAGTTGTTGCTAACATCAGTTAGTGTATTGTCATTAGCCACCATGTGATTTCTATCCAGCAGGTATTCAAAAATGACATGTAGGAAACTGATTTGGAACAAAAATTGCTTTTGTGGTATACCTGCTTTTCTAGAGTATTATATTCTCCATTCCTAAATTATATATATATGTATGTATATGTATGTATGTATGTATGTATGTATGTATGAATTGGGGGTAGTCAGCAGGTTCTTATGTATTAGATCATTTTGGATATTGGAGATCCATATTTTGGACTTAATACGGTATTTGCTGTTGCATTCTAAGTTAGTATCAGGCTTATGTGCAAAATTATAAAATTATAAACAAAATGTAGAGTTACAGTCGAGTTACAAAGTAAAGAAGATTAAGAATTTTTTTAGTAGTTATGCATGTCTAAAAAAATTTCTAGGGTTTCATGAGCATTTCTTATTTATGAGGTTTTTTTTTTGGAAAACATACTTACTGAGTCATATTTTTTTTCTACATGAAATATACAAAGTGTAAAATAACAACCAAGTTTCAGATAAATATCTTGAATGTACTTTCTGCAGTCATTATCACATTTGTCAAACTAGGTTTAAGTTCTGCAGTCAGTTGAATAGAAATATGTTCAGTAGTGTCAAATGAACAGATGATCAAAGAGATAGGTACAGTATTCATATTGATAGCTTCCTGTTTATATTTTTTCCTAATAAAGATCTTTTGGAGTAAACATAATTTTATTAGGTGCAGTGTTTATGTGGTCTGTTTTATGACCATTATGAATATTAATTATGTATGTGGCCTTCCATATACTTTTACTGGGCAGTATATGTGCATGTCATTGTTATTCTTTAGGACCAGAAACTTTGAAGAACTAACTGAAACTTCTTAAGGTTTTTGTATTACAGCTCAGTGTGTAAAGGTACACTGTTAGCCATCTAAAATGCAACATGAAGAAGGACAAGAGATACCAGAGATTATACATAGTATCAATGTACAGTGTGCAAAAAAAGGCGGCACAGTTTTACATCTCCTGTTCTACTGGGCCGATGGACCAAATTCAAATTGCTTTTTTCATGTCTCAAAAGTGCGACCTAGGATATGTATTAGATTTATATATATGGCATTGTTCTAAAATAGGTATTTGGACACAATCCGACTTTTTTTTTTAATGACATGGCGATTTTTATCAATATTTCAATTCTATGACTCAGATTATGCCAGATTGCCAAGTTTTGTATGTTAATTGAATTTGATATGTATTTATTAATATCTCTTTTTTTATTAAATTTACTTGATTCCTTCTTTCAGAATTCGAAATTTAGGTTCATTCCAAATAAAACATTCTTTTTTATTGATTTATTTTTAAAATTTATATTTTAAAATAATTTTTATAAATTTTTTCAAAAAAACATTTTTAATTTATAACCTATAAATGTTTTGCCATCATCTTATCAAGTAGATGTATTTCTAAGCATACCTGCAAAAAATTATAGTTTTTCATTCAAAGCTTCCTAAGATATACATAATTTTACATTTTGGCATGTTTTGAAATTTGGCATATTATAAACAATAATAATGAAAATGTGGTTTACGCACTTTGATAAAATTATTTGAAAGTATGAACAATGACTTTTTCCTGTCTCCATGGACAATGAAGAAAAAGGAAAGGAAAAAATTTGGTATAAATTCGAAGTTCGCCAAGTGAATTATTCTTGGCACAACCTGAAAATAATTTGCCGAGATAAATTTTTAAAGTTCTCCATAAATTTCTCACCAAAAATTACAAAATTTAATATCTAGGCATAATTTGAGTTGTAGAATTGAAATATGAAAAACAATTGGTATGTTATTTCAGAAAAAGGCCAATTTTGTGTCAAAATGTTATGTTAGAACAAAGCTATATATAAATCTAATATATATCTTATGTTGCGCTTTCGAGACATGGAAAACACAATTTGAA